TTTCTTTCTTTCTTTCTTTCTTTCTTTCTTTCTTTCTCCCTTCCTTTATTCCTTTCTTTCTTTACCCTGTAATAGGACGTTTTTGAATGATGGGGTCACATGCCTTGAGGTAATCAAACCATTTTTCATTCGTGGAGGAAACTTCAGCTGCCGCCTACATAAAATCTAAAGTACTAAAACTGTCGTCGTCATAAACTTTAGTATCGCATTTTAAGTACAAGGGCAGTTCTGAAACAAGATTTCGAACCTTATCTGAGAAGAAAATATATATTATATTTTCTTTAACGACATTAAGAACAATTCGTAGTTACTAGGATCTAAACATTCAATTTAAACATGCTGGAAACCCGCCCGCAAGTTCAACAACTTTAAAGTAATCCGTATCCGTATTAAACTTYATATGCTATCCAAACTATTAAAATAGACAGCACAATGACTCTGAATCTAAAACTCCTTAATATGTGTTCAATTTGAGGGTTCCCCAACTGACAAATTCTCACGTAAATTCTTCATCGTTGATGCTGTCCTTGACTGATCTAAAACACCGTAAAAACTCATTTTTCATGCGATTTTGGAAGTAGTATCTTAAACATCTTGCGAAGCGTGAATGATGACACTCTTGGTTGGTATTAATGAGTTAAAATTGGGCTCGCTATTTTGAGAAATCTTATTGCGGTTTGAACGTAATAACCATCAACATGAAACACAAAAGGAATTGTCGTAATAACCGAAAACTCCTATCTTTTATTTACTAACTTAGTTTTTAATACCGATAAAGTTGGCGGATAATATAGGTATAATTTTGTTAGCTCCTCTGATGCAAAAACAAAATCAAATGGAATAAACTCCTTCTTTTTGTCATTCATTATTTCATATCTGAGACATTTGCTTTAAGTTTATGTTGAAATTATTCACATTTATAGCAAACAAGAATAGCCCACTTTTGGTTAGAAGYTTTGATATATATTTTCGCGTTATTTTTTCCGCTATTACAATGCAATTTTCCCCATTTCTTTCATCGGCTTTGTGGGGACAAAAACAAGTCCCCACATTCTACATTTGCCAACAATTTTACTACGATGTCCGTAATTAAGTTAAGAGTAGAACATTCGAGAATGTTTTAAAACACTAAATAATTCATTTAGTTAGCTTTTCCGTATTTGTCCGATGTGATTGTTCTAACAAGGTTTTCACCGCAACTTTACATATATATTGATGATTTGGTGCGAGAACGTATTTGTTCTTTTGAGCCAAAACAACTGAAATTTCGCAACGCCATTAACACTTAAGATATCTCTATATAACTAGAACTGAAGACCTCGGAAATTGCTAATTAGAAAATTACACATCTTTCTCCTCGGCATGTAGTCCGGTCTCACACATAATATCAAGCTATGACATACAGAGATCCTTTTTCTGTATAACACTTTTTTTCTTTCACAAAAAAGTATTATTCTTTCTCATAAATACAATATATCTTGTTTGTTAATATAAAATACAACAGTTAACAGCAGTGAACTAATTAAAAACCAAGTTTTTCTATAATGAAAAAAAAAAAAAAAAATTCAACAACAACAACAGTAGTAACAGTAGTAACAGTAATTGATCGAATTGAGTAAAAACCAAAATCCTTTTTATTTGAATTATTCCTTTTATTTGAAATATTCTTTATATTTGGTTAAATACTTTTTTGTTTGATCCTACGAAATTGTACGTAAACCAGTTCACAGCAGTGAATTGAGTAAAATCCAAGGATTTATCACCTAAATTTTTTCTTTATATGCGCGATATTAATAATAAATAAGTGTTGGCAGTCATGATTGAGTTTCAAAAATACACCTTGCTGTGTTCCATTTATCTACATTAAATTACACTTTCAGTAAAAATTTATCCATCAATGCAAATTTTCTTAAAAGCTTAATAACAATCACACCTAGTGTTTCAAAATATTTCAAAGATGATTCTAGAGAGCTTACATTCTTGATTCACACTAGCTGTATTCAATCTTCGCCGTGGCAAGGCGAAAAGGAAGCAATAATCCGCGGGTAGTATATATGACCACGAGTCCCAAGTCAATTCTGATTGGCTGTTCGATTTTAAACATAAACCGTTTAGAATGTGTCTGCTGTTTGTTCCTCATTTTAAAATATGTTTGCCATAATTTTACGTGGAGTAAATTGGAGTAAACTTGTCGCATAAATTTTATAATTACAAATTTTATATTTTTGTATATTACTTGCTGAAATATATTTGGGGGAAAAATCGAAAGTCAAATAGCAAGTGGTAACATTTCTCTATTTATTCCGTCTTCACTGCTACAACGGCAAGAAAGCATCAGCACCATTAGTATTTGCAAATATTTAGAAAAAAATACTTAAAATATATGAGAATAACTTGCTTGGAAACTAAATAATAGCTAATTAGACTTTACAATACAATATAATACAAATCGTAACTTTCTATTCCATATAGTATATATTTCTCGTCCTATATGGTCTATGTGCATACAAAATATTCGAATTCATTAAAGAACAAGAATGTAATAGGATTARTAAGGATTAAAAGTGATTTTAACGAAGAGAGTTTTCTGAAACCTTACTGGATCCTGAGGTATCTTTTATCTTTTTATTTCATTTTTAAATTGTCTTTAAAGTCAAATCATTTGTATTTGATAAAAGCATCGTTTTAAAACTGATACCCCGGACCTCACAAATAATAAACTAAAAATGTTGATTTATAAAGAAATAATATACAAAACCTTACACGGTAATTTTCTACCAATAGATTCTCACAAAACACCTTATCAAGTACTGATAAAGACTCTTGTTCCTTTTCGCCTTCCAACACAACAATAATATTTTGGAAAACAACTCGGGACAAAACAGGTGCCGCTGGAGTAAAAAAGCCAATGTTTTAGATACATGAATAGAGACGAATTCTAATCACACCATCACTAAGTACTTACATACAAACTTGAATATGGTTTTCCAGATAGCAAAAGACCTGGTTCCAGTTGAATTGCACGCGAAGAGCTATCATCTTGCTTTGGTAGTTTGGCATCATCAACATTTAACCCATAAGGAAACAATTTTAAGGAACTGACGCTCGATGTCTTCCATAAAAGAACCACAAAGACATAAATATAGAGATTGTCTAGCATCATTTTATCCTGACTTTATCAGCATCGTGTTGGGGAATACCTAGATTGGGTTCAGGAAAGAATATAACTTAGGTATAATGACTCAGTGCTGTGTTGCATAAAACCATGCTATTAACATCCAACGCACTCTTCAATCCCTCCGCTGTGCAGCATCTTATTCGTATATGCTTCACGCATACATACATATATATGATGTATAAATAGATTGAATTTTAATTAGAAGTTTCGCTAGACGCATTCAGTTTTACAGTGGCGACGTCAGAATTAGTTAAGCAGATTTGAGGGGCTATTAAAGAATCACGTATCTRATGCGGGAACTCAACCGTTCGCCAGAATATTTATCTATACTTTGCCTCTTTCTCTCTTCATATTCTCTTTATAAATCGCAAACTTTCTAGTATAAATCTATAAAGGTAATGTTTTGAACAACTGTAACGTCGTTTGATCTATTTGTTTTAAGCTTGACGTGACACTGAAGCGATTAATCGGCCTGTCACAGTTCTTCCCCACGCACTTCAAATTGCCTTTTTAAAAACGCATTTACTTAGAACAAATTTTCCCCTATCRCTAAGAGACTTGAAAGGTGATTTATTCTACGTGCACTGATTACGGAGAATTTTTGATCTAGAACCTTACGGTATATTAAAGATCATTGCATGGTTAAGTAAACTTTATTTTGACTCGGTGGATGTAAAAAAAATATGACTTAATTCGATTAACAGACTTTTATTTCCAACGGTTATATCTTAAAGTTAGTTTAAAATGAAAGAAACACGATATTTAAAAATATGAATAAACCTTTTTAAGATGTTCAGCAAGGTCCTCTTACTTACAGGAAACAAACTAGACCTTCCTAGGATTCATTAGGGAACAACTTTGATTAAACAATATGAGGAGTTTGATGAAATAATTCACGCGAGAAATTGTGACTAGCACATTAAAATTCATGGTTGACAAATTGAAAGCAAGTAAATGTGCAACTCCAAAAGATCGACCAAACTGGTGTAATTCTACTCTTTTTTTGTTTTTCCGACGAATTAATTATTCAAAAAAAAAAAAAAAAAAAAAAAAAAAAAAAAAAAGAAAAAAGAGAAGCGAATGAAAAGTCGGCTCCTGATAAAAAGAAAATTAAAAAAACAGTTTCATTTCACAGTCAGTGCCGCGATAATTATACTGATAAACTTTTCATCGCGAATTTGCAGCAATACCTTACTCATTCGGCATTATTATATGAAATCGCTTACCATTTTTTATACGTAAATATATATCTTGTCCTCCTTGTTGAAAATGGCTGGTATTTAGTCTTGCAAGATTTCTTTGCTCGTCATCAACAAGTGAGTATCTTGGAGAAATTGATAATGATATACGCCCTTGATCGATCGTAGTCTTGTTGTGTTTAAGAGCAAAGCATATTAATTAATATATTACCATTAAATTAACAATTACAACGTTCCACGGCTTTAACATTAATGCATGGTTGCATGATTTAAAACCAAGTGATAATCACTATATAACAGAATCTTTTAAATGTATTTAAGCAATATATATATAATTATATATATTCCTACTTGCAAGAACATTGCCTACCATATTAGAACATTAGTAATTTGTGAGAAAGGAATACATTAAAAGACAAAAGAAAAAGTTCAGCTTCAGTGATCTTCTTTTGTTTTTTAATATAATTCCTATCCCACTAAATCACTAATGTTCTATTTTCGTGTGTCAACGTTCTTGCAAGTAGGTGTATATATATATATATACTTGATTGCAGAAAGGTTGTAGTATACATTTATACGAATATCCAATGAGAAGCAAGATATCAAATGAGATGCAGAACCTAAAACATGCTTAAATACGATTGCTTAGACACACCATTTTGTGGAAAATACTTTTTAACTTGCCTTTACGCAATATCATTTCTCTGATACAATAGAAGATAAATAAGACCAAATAAGTTACTTTTTAAGCTTTGCATCTCATTTGATATCTTGCATCTCATTAGATATATGTATGCATTATATGTACAAAAAGAATCAGAATTTCTGCATGTCGCTATATACCTTTTTTTWAAATATATTTTCCCGATTTGAAGCAGTCATAAAAGTATTTTACACCTGCCTGAATACCTGCAATAGCTGTTCTTTGGCGTAAAACATGAGAACAAAAATTTGCAATTCTATAAATTCAATTGAATCATATATAGAGCAAGAGCCATATATTCATTAGCAATTGTCTAATAAGACATTCTGTAAAACCACTTTTTAATTAAACCCGTTAGAGTTACCCACAATTGAAATGAAACATATTTTGCTAGGTGGTTCTCCTGTCTTGGGTTTCAAATTAGGGCTAATATTCCAGGATATTCAGTGAAATGAACTCATTTTTTATCGTAGCGTTCGCTATTAGTGTCCGTGTATTACTTTATGACCATTCTATTATCCTCGGTGTTAAATCTTTTAACGGTTTTAAATTGCTGTATGAAAAGCGATAGCAATATCTGTTTTCGGAATGTTATACACCTATTGCAAAAAACATTGTTATCGACAAAGGCGATAGGCGGTAGGTTATTCCGAGACGGGAATGCTTTCGTCGACTACGAACAACATTGAATCAGCCTTAACCCCAAGGTCCATGTTCTTGACGAGAATAAGAAACAGAAACACAAGTCATTCCAGCTATTCTTGGATATGAGATAGACCTATCTCCTATTGCTTTTTGCCTATTTCCTATCGCCTTTGGCGATAACAACGTTTCCGAAATGCGTATCCACATTGAACTTATAATAAGAAGAATCCTTATTGATGAAAAATACGTTACTTACTGTGCAAAGGAGGATCCAATAGTATCCCAGAATGCATTGCGAGTGAGATATAAWTTTTTTTCAATTAAAGAGCTAAAATTGATATTTTCGAAATTGAAAAATCAATAGCGCAGCGCAACCGTGACGTCATAAAAACGAAGACAAAGGCGAAATTCGGACAAACAAACTTACAAGTTTACTTTCAGCAGATAATTTTCACAGCCGATCGCAGTTGATCTTAGTTTACATGGGTTATTATTATAACTTTAAGTAAAAATGATAATATCGGTTCGTATAATCTCGTAGCAGTTAAACAGAATGCAATGTTTGTCCGAATCTTTAAGCTATTTTTAGAATCAATGCGCTGCGCTATTGTACTTAAATAAAGCGTATTTCATACCTTTTAGTAATATCTATTTCTAAATTCTTCAAGAGATTTAAAGATACTCGTCGAAATACTGAAATACTTTTTGTATAACTTCAAGTTCAGTACAGATTCTACAACTGGTTAATTCTTTTGCCAAATTAGTCAAAAATGCATTCATTAAATGCTAAAGCAACACCTTAGTATTAGTAATATTAGTGGTAGGGTAGAAGCATAGTTACAAAAAGATTCAAATAAACCAGTGAAAGCCAAAATAAAAACAATATTAAACCTGCAAAGGCACTTGGGGTACTAGTGAATCCTCTGCTTTTTGC